GCAGAGCACTAATTCCGAGTATGGGTCACCATACTTGGCCACATGTCACGTCACTTTCACTTTCACTTTCATGAACATGATTTCTGCCCGAGTCCCGTCGGATTGCATCGGCTGTGGCGATGAAGACCACAACTCCCATGATTCCACACTCAGTCACAGCATCGTCAAACTACGCCTTTGTCTCTTTGTTTATTTTGAATACGCGCCCTCTAGCGGCGAAAATTACATATTGTGCCTTTAAGTGTTGCATGTTAAACGTTAGATATTATGTTTTAGGACTACATTATCATAATACTTTGAGTAAAAATACAAACTTTTTCCTTTTAATTGCAGGCACCCAGGCTACGGTTTCTTCTTTCCATGTAGGTGCTGAAACTACTCCCAGTTTCCCCTCAGTAGCACTCTCTTCAACTCCCATCAAAGCCCCTCCATTCCCACCACACAAAAGGCCTTGTCTTGAGTTGGATGAAGAAGAGGAAGACACAGACATTTCTGAAAGCATAGCTGAATCACACGACTCCGCTGTTACAGAGGAGTCCGGATTATGGTAGGTTTTAGACCTCTTTATAGTTATAAAGTTATTTTGGCAATTCGTAAAAGTGACTTGAAAGAGTACAATTTCTTGTTTGTCTTTCTAGGGAACAGACCACATACAATGTGTCAAAATACATTGTTTTTGAAAGCTGCCTCCGAGAGCTATTTGAAACATGTCCACTTTGCAAAACAAAGTGTGATGTTCAATGTAGACGAATGGGCAGCTATGTGTCATTCACCCAACATTGTCCAAAGTGCAGTTATCACAGAAAGTGGGAGAGTCAGCCAGTCATTGGAAGTACACCTGTTGGAAACCTACTGGTGTCTGCTGCTACTTACTTCTGTGGTGCATCCTTCATTCAATTTGAAAAGGTAATCTTAAGATCATATTACCCATATGATCATATTTCCAGGTCAATCACTGTTCTATTATTATGTGGTTTTTGATGCGTTTCCTAATTTTTTAGATTTGCAAGGCCATGCAGCTTCAGATCATCCACTATGATGCATTTAGGAGGCATGCTAGGAACTACCTAGAGCCTGCTGTAATACACAAGTGGAACTTGGATCAGAAAAACCTTTTCAGGAAGCTGCAAGAAGGGGGAAAGGTTGCAGTTGCTGGAGAAATGAGGGCTGATACACCTCGTAAGTTTTTATTTAGTAATTATAAGTAATTATATCTTGATCTGGATTCTTCTGATTATCATTTTTGTATTACATTGGACTGACAAAACCAGCACGACACAGCAAGAGTCAGGATTGGTATAGACGCGATATGAGGAAAAATTCATAGTTTTTTTTTTTATTAGGGCACTCGGCAAAATACGGCAGCTACACCTTGATGCACCTGGACAGCAACACTATTCTTGACATGCAGCTTGTTCAGGTAAACTTATTTTATATCAAACTTATTAGGGCTGTCAAAAAAAAATGAGAATTTTGAATATTCATCGAATTAAAAAAAAAATCCACATTCGAATGCAAAAACGTTGCATTCGAATTGTAGGTCTGCGTCAGCCATCAGGCAGCCTTACTTACCAGTGGCGCACGAAATGCGACGACAATGTAAGTGTCATTGCATTTTAATGCTTTTGTTAGCCTATCCAGTTGAACCCACTAGATGCGGCACTGCTAGGTTGTTCATTCAATATATTGCGGAAAACGAGAGCGTCAGTGTGGCGAAGATGTTGTTTACGGCGAAACTGAAACTAAGCCGTTCACACGGAACGCATATTTATCACATTTTCTAGCGGGGCATCTATCAGCGTTGCACTCGCGTCTCGCACAAGAGAGCGGCATGTTTAGAAAGCCATGTAAAATTAAT